GGATCACAGAAATACTATGTCAAGATATCTTAAAATGGAGACTTAGAAAAACAGAAACAACACGACTTTGAAATACATCTACACTTTAGTACGCCCATTTTCTGTAGAGTCCATGATTGTACCCTTATTTTTTTTGTTTTTTTTGTTCGCTTTTTCTCTAGATTTTCCCATTTTATTTGTCCGTTTGGGAAGATTAAACGTATCATGGCAATTGTTGTTCGTCAATTTATCCCTTCTAAAGTTTCAGCGTCGATTTTGACACATGTTGGCATGTCTTCTCCGACTCGGTTGTATCGCGTTTCTTCGCAATAGTCCCACCTCATTGAAATTAAGTTTTGACAGTCGAGAACTTGACCGATTGATTGAATGATTGATCATGCATGCAGCTTGGTGACAATACGACATACCACGTCACGGATAATAGAATATTACTCTCACGACAGCCAGAGAAAAGAAAGGCAAAAAGGATGGAAACCCTAGCCAAGAAACTTAGCTTGAAACTGATATTGGGTTGCGCTCTGACTTTGACTTCGAGTTCACCAAGGGTTAAGAAGTATGAACTTTTTATCCTTTCCTCTTTTGGAGGTGGGGGTAAATATCTTTGGGTTAGGAGTAATAAGATTATTTCATTCCAGCAAGAAAAGGGGGCGTCTGGTCTACCTCTCTGGTCCGACAAGATATTTTAAGTATGATTTTTTTTTTTTTGGTCTGTAAGTCACGAAGAGAAGGATAATATTTCGTCGAAGATTATTGTGTACCAGATGTTGACAATGGAATTGATATGTAACTGAGAAGTTTAAATCCTTACGACACTCGTCTAGCCAATTATAGCTAGTCCAATAATTTTCGAGGGGTGGGGGAGGGGGGTTGGTGGTGGCCCCCTAGAGAGCATCATACCATGCCAATTTTCGCTTGTTTTGCTGATGAATTCAATTGAAGAGCTGATGAGTTAAATTTCTCTAATATGACCCATGTGGGGGACTAACTGTTATGGAATCATTGAAAATACATTAAATATATTTTAAATAAGGATGTGTTAAGTGATGTTTCAGTGTATCCGAAGTCTATATATTGTAGGATACCAACTAGAACTAGCTACAAACATGAAGAGACTTTTAATTTATACAAGTGAACACAAGTGTGACAAAGGACATCGATACGACTGCAATTGCTGCAGTGAGAAACTTTCGTGTAGTTAATGAAGTTAAGAAGAGGATGAGAGAGATAGAGAGAAAGAGAGGGAGAGAGGGAGAGAGAGGGATAGAGAGGGAGAGAGAAAAAGAGAGAAAGAGAGAAAGAGAGAGAGAGGAAGAGAGAGAGAGAGGCAGAGAGAGAGAGAGAGAGAGAGAGAGGGAGAGAGAGAAAGAGAAAGCGAAGAAGATAAGTGCAAACAAGACAAGAGGAACTGTGGTCCATCTCCCATGCATCCATTGAAGATTGGTGTAAACCATTATTACCATTTTTCGGATTTTAATGAATAAAAGAACATGTTTACTTTCTCACAGTAATGAGCTGCTCATTAATTATATCCAAAGAGATAAATAACTGGGAAAGTGAGTACTTTGCGGCACCTGTTCCTTAAACATTAATCCCCGTTTTAAAAGTTAGGACATGGTACATAATGATCAAGACAAAGGTATTACTGATGGAACTTCATTAACACTCAGATGGTACGCCATGTAACTACAACAGCTCCCGCTAAGCTACATAATACTTAAATCCGTATTGACAAGTAGAAGTATCGATTTTGAGTCTGAAAGCCTCTACAGGAGCTTACAAACCGCAATGGATGATGATGCTAAAGGGAGAGACAAAAACGAACAAAAGCGCCGTGGATGTTGTCCAACCAACCCGTGCGCGCTCCATGTGTGTCCGCCGTAGGCCGCACGGCGTGGTTCGATTTACAAGAAAAACATGGCATTCTGTTACCTTTCAAATTTCATTCACTTTTACACCTTTATAGGAAATTCTACCAGAGAAAAGGTGGATGACTTGTCAGACAAGAATTTGAAGAAATACTTCATCTTTTTTAGACTGAACGAAAAATGGAGTTCAAGTTGTTTTAAAACACACGTCGCGCAAAAATTGACATACGTCTGAACTAAGTCTTTGAGGCAGTCGAGGCGAGATGTTTGTGACGTGCGAAGGACTAAGCTTTGAAAACAGGCGCAAATCTACCCCTCTAACCAGTTCCTATCCGGTCACTGAAAGTAACAACATTTAAAGATTTCCACACCTCTTAAGTCAAAACGTGGAAGAACAACAAAATGAAAATCCAGCAAAACACATTAACCATTTCATGCACGATTTAATAAACGAGAAGACCCGCACATGCTCGGTAGAGAGATCTAATGACTGCCATATATCGGAGTCATTTTCAACGATAAGGCCGTATAAACATCACAAATCATTCTTGCAGAGCGAGAGATAAGTGCAGATGATCCTCTCAATTCGTAACTATAAAAATGCTATCTCTCAAACGACAGTTGATAAACATTATCTGACGTATGGGGGTTATTACCGACAATTTATTGCCTTGAGAAGTACGCTGATTGGCATACAGCACCCGACTTTATATCTCTCTTTAAACATGTCAGATTCTATTAATGTACAGACATCGTTCTTCAAAACCACTCCGGTATTCTTTGAGTTGAAGTAATAGCCGGAAAACCATTAACTGATAATAGGTTTCAACCTTAATCTTATGGTTATTCGGACTGCAGTATTAACGCAGGGGAAATACATGATGACGTCGTGAGTCGATGATAAATACAAATATATTTAAGAAGTTCTTCGATTTAATAATTGGCCAATTTCTTCCATTGATAAAACCTCAAAATTAAAACGACCCACTATTAGAATCATTCACAACAGATGATTTTACTTCTGACATTCAATGGAAGTATTCCAATCAACTACATCCTTATGAAGCGCGGTACTTCTATAGCAAAGATCACTTTGTTGAAGTATTAATTGTACTACAGTGAGCTCAAGTCGGCGAAGCCTTAATGAAAACTTAAATATTGCTTTTTAAACTGATTAAAATTTAGATTCTTTTAGCGTGATGACAAACAGTATCCTAGAAAGAATAAAAAGAACAAATAATTGAAATAACATTCAACAAAAAAGCACGATATCCAAGATCACCCTTCTCTGTTGATGCACTAAACCATCAATTTTCAAACCTGCATTGGTGTTTTTATAATATGGGATTAAGAATGTTGAAAGAAACTGCTGGCACGACTGCCTGAGCGCCATTTTGTACACATACAGCTAGATTCATATTGGCATTTAAACCATGGAGAATGAGTGAATAGAAATGGTTTTAGAAATAGCAATATGGTTTACAAATGATCTGATTTTATTGTGATAGCTGGAAGCTATCATGTCATAATCCTCTACCGAGTTGACGCCTGTAGGTCAAGAATTTGTCAGAATCTACCGCTGAAATCTCATTCCATAAAAATGATTCCGCGCACTCTTCTCGACGAGCTTGATTAATCCTGGGCTTATTAATAATAACTGCATCTCGCTTGATCGCGAGAGGGGCACAACACTCGTGGGCAATAAGGATGAAACAATCTTTTGAAAGGGACTCTTTGGATTTCTAGATTGACTTGTAGAAGGATAGAGTGCAGGTGCTCGTGCTCCTACCCGCCGGCTAGCATCCAGGAATCCAGGGTTCAAATAATGAGAGAAAATGTCCAAATGATATCATGTTCATCAGTGTGCCTTCATACTCTGAATGCTTTTTCTTAGTTTCTTTTCCTCCTTGTCAGTCTGAAACTACAATTTACCATGTTTCATATAATTATAACCTACTTTGCTATTTTTCACTCCCCTCCACCGGTCCACACTCTCCCCCCCCCCTCTCTCTCTCTCTCTTTCTCTCTATCTATGCATACATTTATGAACAGATTACTATTGTATGTCTACGAGCTATATAGAAGCATACTTTTTACATCCTAATGGAGACACCCAGAAGGACGCAAATATGTCTGCCAGTGTGCGCGGCGCCACGGGTCACTTTGTTATATCTTACGTAGATCTGCCTTTCTGACAGATAACTATGGTGATCATGGAAAAGAAAAAAGGGTTACAGATCAAAATCAATATCATCGTCTTCATGAGCTATTGTAATTCACGTTTCATCACAATCATCATCATACCAGTTTGTTTCTAAGCTTTAATTTGTAATTAATCAACGTCGAGCATGCATTGGATATTAGCACGCAGCATCAACCTCATCAATGCCCTCTACCAATAATTAATATCTGAATCACGCTTTATCGGAGTTCCATTATTCATTGATAGTCATTGGTGTTATTTTGATTCCTACCCTTGGCATTTCGTAAAATGTAATCATTAATGTCTATAAAAAAAAGATTGCTAAGTATATAACACATCAATTTCGAGGTCCGCGAACAGTCACAATCGTCGCTAGACCGCAGGGTGATGAAATGTTACAAAAAAGAACAACATCAATGAAATCTGAGGAATAACATGGTCCAAATTTGTTCGCCAAAATTGAAACAACCACCCGACTCCTTAAAAACGTATAAAAATGAATTCAGATCCCCGCGTGGTTTCCAACTATTCGATACGGGACCCTGCTGTTCATCTCACCCGACGCACTCGGGGACCAACGCTGGGCATTCTACGGTCAGCGGGGAGTGGAGTACAGCGACTTTTAAGTGAAACTTTGTTATCACAAGGGACACCAGGGATGTAGGTAATTTTGTTCGTCTACAAACTGCTAATGACTAGGTAAATGGAAGGCTATTACCTGGTAATGAAAAGAAAAATGCACCTACAGAGAGAAATGCTGGGCAAACCCTGACATAAAGTTAAAGTTTGAAGGACAAGTCAGTCACCTTGATAATGGGGCTGTAACGTAGGTCCTCCCACCTCTCTGGTCATACCGAGAGGTATAAAAGGTGATGAGAAAATAAATATACACTGTACTAGAATAAAATTATATCAAAAGAGATGAAACTTACATCCAATGATGCTCGGAGATAAAAACGCATCCATCCACAAAATAAGATAGTTAGTGATATTCAGTGCGAAGAAAACAATCCATTTGTTTCACCGATCCGAGTTAACTCTTATTAATCCTTAAGATTTATTTCCATCTCGTAAGAGTAAAGATGATGTGGATGAGTTCAACTTATATTCCTAAAGGTAGATGATGATGCAGGTTACGGGATGAAGAGAGCAAGCACTTGGTTCAGGGTTTATATCAGACGATGGTCCTTGTGCTATTGATGCATGGATGGATCGCACTCATTCACCTCTCTCCTCGCTCCTTCTCTCTCTCTCTGTCCATACACCCACCCTCTCTTTCTCAATGAATAATGGACGAGTCCATTGTTCAAAACCAGGGTGCCGCGTGTGACTCATTCACCTTACCCGAGTGGACGGGACAAATTGTAAAAACTATTAAACGTCCTTAATCCTTCATTAATGGCGTTCTAAACAATTAACTCCAACCAAGTTCATTTCCACACCATCTATACAAAGAAAATCACACAAGCTTTGTCGGCTCGTCAAATCTTCTGTATTTTTACAGCTATCTTGAAAATCCTTTTTGTTGCCATTTGATGTCCCTCTGTGTTCCTGGAGGCCCATTGTCACCTCTGAGGTGTAAATTGGGCTCGGGTTGAAGAGTCCCCTTTTAGCGACAGGGGTAAAAGGTGCATCTTACAAAGTCTGATATTGATCCATTTCGGACACTCACACAATTCGGACCAAAACAAACATCACCCAAGAGCAAAGTTAAAGAAGATGTTCTCTGTCATTCTCGACAGCGATGACTAAATGTTCATAAAAATCATTTGATGGGTGGGATTAAGAGATTTATTCTGATAACCGTCTCCACGAGTCAAAATCTAGTCAAACAATGACTCAGTTTAATATAAAAGTTGGGGTCAGAGGTCAGAGGTCACGTCAAGACGAACCTAAGGCCTACAAGATCGCTCTCGTTTTCTTATCTTTTTACGAAGGAAAGAAATTATAGGAACTCATAAGAACACATCTATATCAGCGTTAAAGGAAACATTATTCAAGCTGTGTGGAAATCATTTTGGAATACACTGCGATTGGAGAGATATCTGAAGATTGATTTTGTTAGAAAAAACTCACACAATGTATGCCCAGGCCGCCACGCCCACCCGAGACGCTTACGTACCCAAAGGTCCGAAACCCGTATTCGTACAAGCCCGCGATATTCCCGTCAGCAACAACAACAATATGCCTACAGGTGAGGAATTTTATTATGCCTTATCGAAGTCAGTTGCTAATGATGCCATTGTAGGAATACAAAGAATTGGATCCCTATGGAGAATTTACGTGGATACTCAAGAGGATAGGGTTAGGCTTATTACAAGTGGTCTACAAATGCGACAAACCGTACTTCCAGTATATGACATTAACCCATTCACTAAAATGAATAACGAAGAACTAACAAGAGTCACGATTAAGGATATCCCCTTATCAGTCGGGGATGATCTCTTGAAAGCTTCGCTTGAAAAGCTGAAATGCAAAGTAAAGGGACAAATCATCAGGCAGAAACTACGAGTGAATGGGCAACTTGTAAACTGTTTGAATGGTGATCGTGTATGTTACATAGAACCGCCATCGCAACCACTGCCGAGAATGCTAAACGTTGCCAATATCTTCCGGGGCAGAGCTTTTCACACAGGACAGCCCGAACAGGTCAAAAACTGTTCCAAATGCCTGGAAACTGGCCACCATACATCACAATGCACAAACGAAGTCAAATGTAGAATCTGCAAGAATTCCGGGCATAAGAGCACCAGTTGTCATACCGTCGCCGCTAACAACGAAAACACACCGGATGAGGCTCAGATCGACACCGCTGATCAACCACAACAAAGGGGAACCAAGTATCAACACATAACAGATCACGCTTCACAAAGCAACTCGGAAGAGCCAGGAATCCCCATGACGCAGCGTAGGGATGACGTAATCGTACGAACGAAGACTCCTCGCCAGCCGGACATATCGCAATATCTACGCCCGAAATCGACAACAACGTCCCCACCCAGAAACAGCCGCCGCGAAGACACTGATCACAATAGCGATGACTCGAGTACACTCTCTTCAGGTGAAAGTACCCAGGAAGAGCGGATAGTTACTCCACAAAAAACCACAACACCAAAGAAAATGCAAAAGAGGAAATCAGAAAGAAAGAAAGGGAACACAAGAAAGTGAGTAGACTGAAATTTGGATCAACAGACAAGTATTACGGAAATGAAAATCTCTAGCTGGTGAACGAAAACAAATTATGTCCTTTTTATCCCTCAATGTAAGGGGGATTAGGAATAAACTGAAACGAAACAAAATCTTTTCATGGATACATAAGCAAAAAATAGACGTAATAATGTTACAAGAAACTTTTTTGACTCACGGATTAGAAGCTATTATTAAGTTAGAATTAGATTACCACTGTTTCTTTAATCATGGCACAAATCACTCAAAAGGTGTGGCTATTTTTGTACGTAAATATTATTCTGAACAGATTGAACATTTTGTACACCTTGATGGTCGAGCACTTGCGATAAGATTGAAAGTTGGTGAAAACTCTTATTTTATTTTAAATGTTTACGCACCGACAAAATACAATGAAAAAGAAAGATTTTATAACAACTTATTAAAATGGTTAAAAAAGGTGAAACAAGTAAACGATTCATTAGTGTTAGGTGGAGATTGGAATTGTGTTCAAAATGCCCAGCTGGATACTCGGGGTATGTGTTATGCTTATAAAGAGATTCAGGGGTTTAAGAAATTGCTTAAACACTTTAATATGATTGATGTGTGGAGGAAAATGTTTCCTTTCAAAAAACAATACACTTGGCGACAATTGTCATTAAATATATTTTCTCGACTTGACTATTGGCTATTAACAGATTCAATGTGGTGTTGTGTGCAGACGACTGAAATTAAGCCTGCTCCAAAATGCGATCATTGTGCAATTACTCTAAAATTGGCAACTAATAGTCCCCGAAAGGGGTGTGGTTTATGGAAAATGAATAATTCATTGTTAAAAGATGATGACTATACAGTAAACATAAAACATTTGATTAGAAAATTTAAAATGGAAAACGCTTATATGAACCCGCAAATGAAATGGGACATGTGCAAAATAAAGATTAAAGAATACACAATCAGGTATTCGAAACAAAAGCATAAAGAAAAGAACGAAGCTTTTAACAAATTACAAACTGAATTTATGTCAATGAGCTGTAAGACTGATGAAAATCCGTCTAAAGAAAATAAGGAAGAACTAGAACGAACAAAAATTAAATTAGACCAATGGTTAACATATAAATGTAAAGGAGCTTTTGTCAGGTCCAGACAAAAGTGGATAGAACATGGTGAAAAATCAACGAAATATTTTTTTCAATGCGAAAAAAGAAACGGAAAAAGAAAAGAAATAAATTGTATTAAAAAGAATGGAAGGGTTGTTACAAACCAGGAAACTATTCTTAGTGAAATTGTTGAATATTATAAATGTTTGTACTCTAAAACAATCAATGGAGTTGAATCGTCTGATATTGATAATTATTTAGCTTCAACTATGCTTCCTGTATTAACGGAAGAAGAAGCAATGTCGTGTGAAGGAATACTTACCGAGGAAGAATGTCGAAATGCTATATTTTCTATGAAAAACAACAAGTCACCAGGTAGTGACGGTTTATCTGCTGAATTTTTAAAATGTTTTTGGGACGATGTTAAATCCCTTGTAATAAATAGTATAAATGAAGGTTTTAATCAAAAACAGTTGTCCGAAACTCAAAAGTTAGCTATACTAACTTTGCTGTACAAGAAAGGGGATAAACAATGCCTAGATAATTGGAGACCTATATCATTGCTTAACACAGATTATAAGATTGTAGCAAAGGTGTTATGTAAAAGATTAAAAAATGTCATAGATAAATTGATTTCTTTTGATCAATCAGGTTATTTAAAACAGCGTTCCGCTATGCAAAATCTACGTTTAGTTAAAGATATAATTGAATACTGTGAATCAAATAATTACTCAGGTATCCTTCTTTTTCTTGATTTTAGAAAAGCTTTTGATACGGTTACTCATGAGTTCTTATTTCAACTATTATATAAGTTAAAGTTCAAAGAATCCTTTATTACATGGATCAAAGTCATTTATGCAAATGCTGTAGGGAGTGTCATAAATAATGGTTGGGTCTCGCAAAAATTTGAAATAAAAAGGGGCATTAGGCAGGGCTGTCCGCTTTCTGCTCTATTATTTATTCTAGTTGTTGAAATTATGGCATTAAAAATAAAGCAAAATAATAATATAGATGGTATCACAGTCGTAACTACTGACACTGGTATTTCAAAAGAATTTAAGATATCCCAACTGGCAGATGACACTGTTCTCTTTTTAAACAACATTCAATCTGCCAACATATCTCTCGAAGAAGTAAAACATTTCGGACACTTCGCTGGGCCGAGCTTAAATGTGATGAAAACAAATGCTGTTACTATACAACAGCAACAAGCATTTATCGAAGGTATTAAATGGAACGATGAACCTGTCAAGTATTTGGGAATGTATCTAACAAGGGATAAAAAGGAGTCTGATCGATTGAACTGGTTTGTGAAACTAGAAAAAGTAAAATCAATCTTGACTTTTTGGAAAATGAGAAACTTAACTTACTATGGTAAAGTTGTAATTCTTAAATCACTTGTAATCTCACAATTTGTGTATGTTGCTTCGGTATTACCTATCCCTCAGAAACTAGTTGTTGATTTGAATAAACTGATGTATAATTTTCTATGGAATTCAAAAAGAGAAAAAGTCAAGAGAACAGTCTTAATTAATGATATTGAAAAGGGAGGATTGGGCATGGTCGACTTAAACTCTAAATTTCAATCGCTACATTTATCATGGTTTAACAATTTCTTTGAAAATAATTATGATATACCGTGGAAGTTTATGTTTAGATACTGGATTGAAAAAATATGTCCGTTGTTAGTAATTTTGAAAACAAATTGTTCCAGTAAAGACATGTTAAAGTTATGCTTAAAACAAAAAATACCTAATTTTTATGTTAACTGTCTCGTAACTTGGAGCGAACTTAAATATATTCAATTTCCACAAGTTATGAATGTTGAAAATCAAGTATTGTGGTACAATAGTAATATTACACATGAGAGCAAACCTCTCTTTTTTAAAGAATGGTTTAGAAAAGGCATTATAACAATGAATGACATTGTAGAAAATGGACGTTTTCGGCCAAGAGAACATATTTGTAGAGTGCTTGGCTCAAACTCTTTGCTAGTTGATTTTATGTATA